TTCAAAAATTAATGGCTGCCCAAGAACCACTCAGATCAGAAATTGCTTGTATACAATTATTGATTAAAGAACAATTGAATGTTCTCAAATCCACTTTGACGTCTCATAATAAAATAATATCTGACGTTCGATTATTATTAAAGTCATTGACAAAAGTATGTTTAAATATTCAATACCCTACATGTAAATACTTGATGTACAATTTTAAGAAATCGTATTTTTTATTAATTGTTTAATTACTTTTACTATCTACTATAAAATATTTATTTTCATTTAATATTATTCAAAATTATTTAAATGATCATTGTAAAGTAGTAACAGTATACAATTGATCAAATGGTTTATTTTTCAGGTCGATAATGTTGGTACAGCTWGTATAAACTACCTAACAAAATATTGTTCTTACTTAGATCATTTAATGTCTTTAATTGAACAATTATCAGCAATTAATGAACCAACTATTCAACAAGTGAATATTTTACTTGAATCATTACAATCACTWCATAAAAATACACGTAATTAAATGCCATCATCTAGATTAAAAAAAAAATGTATACTAAATTTTATGTTTTATTTTAGCACAAATTTATGATGATTTATTAACAATCTTGGGTGAAAAGGGATTACTTGTAAAACAGCATAAACGTCCTCCTTTGGTGCGTCAGGATAGCATTTGTTTGTCACCAAGAAAAGGATTACCAAGAGATCCCCATACTGGAAAAGGTATTTATACTTAAAAAGTTAACATACTTTAAACAATGTTGTTGGATTTATAATTAATTAATTATATCTAAACAATGTTTTTCTAGCGGTTCAAAAGTGTAATGCATATGCTGTAAGTGTTTGGCGACGTGTCAGAATGAAACTTGAAGGAAGAGACCCAGATCCTGGTAGAAGATCAACTGTTACTGAACAGGTAATAGTTTGAGCAATAATATTTGAAAAGTGAAAACTATTTTTATTTTCAAACTTCAAAGTCTATTAAAACTTTTTACTTATTTATACAAATTATTTCACTACTATATACTGTTTACGATCTACAATCTGTGCTACATAAAATAATTTTTAATTTTATATTCTTTGTGATCTATATGATATGATCTAATTAATAAAACTTAAAATCATGTGAGCTGGGATTTCCTAAAATTGTTCGGTTGTTGTCAAATAATTATATAGCGGAACCTGCCTATAAGGGACACTCATAGATCCATTAAATGGTTCTTTGTAGACAGGTGTACCTTATGTCCTTATAGAACAATTTCTTGTTACATCAATCTTTTTCATTGGTCTTAATTGTTTTGTTTGTTAAGAGAGGTGTCTATAAAATAGGTTTTCCTATATTATGAAATACAGGAATCAAATAGTGTGCTTGGGATAGTGAAAGGGCTTAAAATATGTTCTTATATTTGAAACTAAGTGAAAATGTATTTTTGTCACACCTGCATAAAAAGTTAAGTTTCCGATAATGACTAAWGAGTTCCGCTCATTGAAAAATTAAGTGATAATTTCCACGGTGCCAGGTACTAAAATGATGGTAAAATATTTTGAAGCAAAAGATTTGATATGCTTTAAGGTAGAGAAACATTCAAAATCATATCTTCTTCATCAATTTTTTCAATGACAGTACTGTTTTTGTAGTAATATCTATCTAGCACTAATAAAAAATTTAAAAAAGCGGAAAAGTAGATATCGCTCTGCTGTACAGTAGGTTACAAGTAGGTTACTGTAATGGATGGAATTAAATTTGAATCCAATTATATTATATCAGAAGTAGGTTACTGTAATGGATGGAATTAAATTTGAATCCAATGATATTATATCAGTGTATACGAAAAACGATTCTGAGCGGAGACGGTTTATCTGTCTAGGATATATTATGGAGTATTAAAAATTTTCAAATCTAAGATTTAAAAAGTCGCTCAAAAAAGATCTATAGTCATTTTTCATTTAAAGCAATATTTCTGGTAGAAAACGTCATCTGTGATTATTCAATATTATAAAATCAAAAAATTACCTTTTTAAAGTACCAGTTCAAGAACGTTACCTTTCAGAAAAGATGCTATACTTGATACTTTTGAGCAAGTTTAGAGGGAGAAAAAATGTTTACAGAATAAAAAAGAAATAAACATCATTGTAAAACCAATACATTCCTTCCGCTCAGAATCTAAAATAAATTTTGATAGTATTTATCTTTAAAAAAATTGTGTAGTTTGATTAGTTTATCTGTTTGAGTGTTTATTCTTAAGTTTTTAAGTTATTGACATTTTATGTTTAAAACATTATTCAATGACTAAAATGATCTTATATATTACTGTACATTTTGTTTTATTCATTAGGTTAATTGGGTGATAAATGAAGCCACAAATCCAGACAATTTGGCACTGCTGTATGAAGGCTGGACACCGTGGGTGTGAATAACTAAAGTTAAAGGCACTTGATGGTGTCTTTTGGGATTGAAATATAAAATACTTTTACTACGACAAATTGAATCATTGACGCGTTTAACCTAACGAGTTTTATGAACAAAACTACACAGTGGGGTTAGCAGTGTGTTTGTCATTTATAAATTACCAATAAAATATTTAAAAAAAAAAAAAACAATATTATAAATAATAATAAAAATAACAAAATTCCATAAYTATTAGCCATGAGAAAAAGCAGTTTATTAAAGAAAGATCACAGTGTTAATTAAATGGCTATTTAAATGGTATCAGATTAAGAGTAAAGTTGGTGAATATGTCGTATATCGCAAAAAAAGAGCATTAGTTTGTGGTAATGATTGTCATTTTTTTTCATTAGCATTAAGTAATTCAAGATTTCTTAATATTAGGTCTTTGTTGCGTTTCTAAAAATACATTTACTTTTTCACCACATGTCTATATAATATATATTTATAATTTTTTTTTTTTTTTGTCACAAAATTTGTTCAATTTTAATACATTATTATTATCTGGAACAATGTAGATGTATGACATTATTTTTTGGAGTATACGAAATTTGTAGAAAATTATTTTGTACAATAAAACATGGTCAATCATTTTTCAAAAATATATACATTAACTAGAACTAATAATAATTATGTTGTATGCAATTATGTATTCACCTTTTAATAGTAAATAATAGTATTTACCAACTTTTTAAATGTAATAAATTGTATTTTTTGACACACAATAAATAATGATTAATATGTGTTTACTGTATATGAAAGAAGKGAAAAATATTGATCATGTGAAAAATTTTTGTTCTGTATTATTTTTGTTTAAAATTTACAACTGTTTTAAAAACTATTTTTCTTTTCGAAAATAGTTTTCTTGCTTTTTTTTCTTATAATTATATAAAATTGTTTTATTAAATACATAATAATATTATAATATATTGTTTTTAATATTCATACTCATATAAGCAGTGGCATATTTTTTATGGAGGGGGTGGTGTCTCCATGTTTGAGGACACCCCCGACTTTAAAAAAAGGCCTGACTATTGGTATTATTATTATTTTTTATTATTTACTATTTTAATTTTAAAATAAGTATATTCATTATAATATGTTGAACACCCTCCGAGAAATTACCTAAGACATGTCACTGCATAAAAGATGTATAAATGCATAAAAATAATTTCCTTGATTGATCAATAATCATGAAGCATGTACAAATCTGAATATCAGGGGGCTATTTTWTTGGCCGTTTTCTTAATTTGGTCTTCAGCTCTTAACAAGACACACACATATTAATCAGTGATACTTATATAATTATTAGGGTCGATACGGTCTTTTTGCAATAAAAATTAATATATACCAAAGTATATATTTCTTCAGGTCTATTATCTAAGATAATTGCAATATTTATCATTTGTACCTTATTAGTCTTTAACAGCTGTTATGATCATAATATTTGATAAGTTATCCCGTTCAATTTTAAAATATTAAAGGTATGTGCCATGTGCCATGTGGTATATTGTATATATTATGACATCCATTTGCATTGTAACAAWCTAGGGATCGATCTACCATATTAATACAATTAGACGATGAAATTAATGTGTATAACCTGTTGTAGTAGTAATAATATATTTTATCATCTCACAAGCACAATAGGTAAGTAGTAGGTAAGTGCGTAARATAGCTAATTTTATGCTAAGCAGTTCCATTTTAGTTCCGTTATATAGATAGCCAGCCTTCACGTTCAAGGGGTGCGAATATTTTTGTCCCTCTCATTCCAAAAAAAAAAAAAAATTAAATTAAAATTAATACTATACTTCATTATATTTAAAATATTACATCACAATAATATAATGATATATAATGCCAAATCAAAATATCATACGACTTTGAACTCCATACTAAATTGTCTGTGCGTTTAGAAGGTGCCACTGCATACCCAGYACATCCCCTGGGGCACCACCTATGGTATTGACATTATTGTCTTGAAAATGTTTATTTATATTTATCGCATGTCATATAATGGTAACATCAATTATAGCAGTGGCGTATATTATAATAGAAATTAATTTTTTTTTTTGAGAGGGGGACTTAAAAAAAAAAAATTTCAAAAGTGAAATCAATTAATACTTTCAGTTAAATCACAGAGTATCGGTTACTACATTTATATGATGGTATACAAATACAATGAACAGTTTTAAATTCTTAAACTACATAGTGCGAACGTTTAGCGTTTTAACTTTTAATACAGTTTACATTTTATAAACCGTTTTAACGCCATCATGTAAACATGGTATATGGGTAATGGGTACTTTTATTACCAAGTTAATATCATAAAATATAACATCATGATTATGATGAATAACTAATTAATAATTAATTTTAATAAAACAAAAAGTATGGTATGGTTCTACAATTGGTCCACAGAGCGGAAAATAAATAAACCTGTTCTAATCGACACGGTTATCACTTATCATAAATAGATTATCAGCTTCTGTTGTTGTTCCTTGAGTTGTTTTTTTAATAATAATAATAATGATAACCATTATTTTGTATTGTATTTGTATTTTGTAATCAGTAACTATATGTGCGAAACGAAAAAAATTTAAAATACCTCATACTTAAAAACCAATTTTGTGCATAWAATTTTTATATTTTATCGAATCTGAAGTACAAAGAAAAATATTTGCTCATGATTTTGACTATAAGTAGTTTGTTGATGATGTTTGCTAATCTCATGCAACAAACAAAAAAAATTATTCAAGAGAAGTATTTAAAAAATGACAGTGGAAATTCGACGGCGAATACGATTGCAATTGAGGCTACAGACGAGCAACTCGATGAAAAAACACAAGAATTGAAGGACCAAATCTATGGTGGGTATTATCACTGATTGGTATTTACATAACACCTATAACATTAATTGGTTTTAAAATTATTATTAAACCAACAGATATTATTAGAACAATTAAGGATCCAGAGAAACCAGCTACTCTGGAAGACCTTAATGTCGTGTATGAAAATGGAGTAGTGGTCAGTATTCAAAATGATAATTTTACTAATTGGCTAACAAATATGATAATATATTCTTTCATTAAACTTACACTATGACTTGAACGTGCATGTCTTATTTCGTTTGCCCTTCACTTTCATCTTTTTGGGGTTCGGCCTAACTACCAAGTTGTGCAACATTTAAGATAAGACAAAAAATACCATTTTAAAATAACTGCTTACTCTTTATTACTGTTCAGTAAGCAAATCATCACATTTGTTTCTATTATAAAATATCAGATTAAAGTATTATAATTATCCACAAATATATAAAAAGTATTTAGTTAATTTTTTATACAAATTAATGCATTACAATTGTAATACCTAAAGATTTACATTATAATATATATCCGAACAAATTACTTTTAAAAAGTTTTTTYTATTTTGTTTGTTCCTATCTATATCAATATTTGTTAACATAGAATTATATACATGGTTATACAYTGTGTGATATTCTACAAATTTATTGGTTATTTCTATAAATTAATGTGTGGTACTTGTTTTAAATAAAATAATAAGTAATGAATTAAATTAAATTAAAACTTCTATGCCATCTTATAAAACTTATAAATTACTAATTAGTTATTGACGTTATTGTAATACATTATCATAACCTATACCACAGATTATACCATTATAGTTAGATTGATATTTTATGGTTGCTCATGGAAATTACCTTAAAAATAATAATTGCAGGTAATCAATCAAARAAACTTGAAATTGTATACTGTTCGAATTGAATTTAATCCTACAGTACCACATTGCAGTTTAGCTACTTTAATTGGCCTTAGCATAAGGATTAAAGTTATAAGATCTATTTTGGAGAATGTTAAATTGGATATATACATTAAAGAAGGTGCTCAYACAACTGAAGAAGAAAGTAGTTATAATTGTATAGATTATTATTAACTTTTCACAATAAATACACTTATACATTTACAGTTAACAAACAAATAAACGATAAAGAACGTGTTGCAGCTGCAATGGAAAATCCAAGTTTAAGAGATGTAGTGGAAAAATGTATAAAAGAAGAAGAATAAAAGTTTGTTTTAACTTTTAAGTAAATATTATATATTTATGTTTAAGTAATATTTTATTCAATTGTGTACGCCTTTTTAATGAWYTATTGATGTAAATTTTTTTAAATTATTTATATTATATGCAAATTTATCGCAATATAATGGTTTATTGWACTATTTAAACATTTGAAATCATAACCAAGAAATTCAATGGTTTTACGATTTTTTTTAAATTAAAATATTCAGAATAATATTGTGCTTTATAATGTACAGTTGTCACATACAAATTAAATTGTAAAAACCTAAAATGTGGAACATAAAAATAGTAAAATTGAATCCTTTAAATTTTTTTTTTGGAAATCCTAAGATTATGTAAACATTAAGAAAAAAAAATAGTTTTGAAATAAACAGTGTTCTCAAATAAAATTATTATTATTGCAAGGACGATATTGGAGAAAAATCTAAGGATCAAACTTTTTTTCATATAGATACTGGACAGATATTTTACATTCAAAATATAAATTCTTTAAATTACTTTTAAAAAAWTTAAGGAGGGGTGGGAGTGCAGATTTCTGCCCTCATTTAACCCTTATAAAACTTTGTGATAATATGTCAATAATATTGTATTAGGTAGTTATCTAACGAAAACTTTAACTGACAGCATATTAGTGTATAAATATATTGAAAACAAATGTATAATAAGCCAATTAAGTGATTTTATTTTGATTTAAATTAATTTTGTAATAATAAGACACTTTTAATCAGCTTTAC